GGACCAGGATGAAAGTGGGCTAAATTACCTTTCAGAAAATGAAACTTTTTCAGAAAGCCAGCTCCCACAAAGGAGTCACAGAGGTACAGCAGGAGGCCACTGAACATCAGGTCTGAGCAGCTGATGTTTAGAGAGTGGGGCCTGGAGCTCACGTAGCAGACAGAAATCTGAAAAGAAGGAGCCCAAGAGAAACATCGTTTTCTAGACTCCTCAACAACATCACACTACAGCTCTGCATCTGGACAAATTCTAACTACCTGGTCAAGCCCAAAGTATCTGGGAGCCAGAAGGTAATATTTTCATCTTATTTCCAAATCTATCTCCTAAAAAGAAGGTTCCAGAACAGCGGTTCTCAACCTGTAGGTCACGACCCCTTAGGCAACCCTTTCACAGGGGTCACCTAAGACCATCCTGCATATCGGATATATACATTATGATTCATAACAGTAGCAAAATTACAGTTATGAAGTAGCAACGAAAACAATTTTATGCTTGGGGGTCACCACAACATGAGGAACTGTATTAAACAGTCACGGTATTAGGAAGGTTGAGAACCACTGTTTCAGAAGATTCATCCCCATTTATCTGTTCATGAACTCATTTGAGAATAGAAATGTTTTGACATCAGAATTGGATTTGGCTCCTAACCTCTTACATCTGGGCCACTTGAGCTCTCTCAGCCTGGATGTGACCAGCTGGGGCGGGATGGTAAGCACCAGTGATGAAGTGGTTGTCCAGTTAGGACTCAGAGCCCTGGTTCTAGCCTATCTGTCCTAGAAGTCTCAGATTTATCCCTCCCACAGAGCCCCCTCTGAAAATCACCTGAGATCCCAGATTAAGGTAACAGTCAACGGACAGCACGGGGTGGCCGTGGTTCTTCAGGGAGAGTGGGAACAGGCAGTGGCTGTGGTGCTGGAGGAACTTCTCGAGCAGGAGCTGGGCAGGAGCCGTGAGGAACGTGTGCTTGCTGTCGGGGGCACAGATGTACTGGGCTGGCACAACTGCGGCGGCGTTCTCGGACATCTGTGTGGGACGAGGTGTGTCAGGCCACCCCCAGTCACTGCTGTGGGAGGGGGCACTTCCGAGGCTTGTAGGGTGGACCCAAGGGCTTTGGGTGGCCCCAGCAGTGGTCATGTTGCTCAGGGGAATGATGTAAGTGGGAAACACTCTAAGAATGAAACCCTCTGTTGAGAAAAATGAGGTTCTACCAAAGCTGGACGTGTAAAGCCTAACCGAAGCGCTCGGTAAGAATTGTAGACACTGATCATTCCATGCATTGTCAGAGTTAGGCCCCCCACCCACTGGCACCATTCAGAGTTTTAAATTGAAATTACAGGAGTCTGGCTGTCTGGTCTATTGCAAATGGGAGACCATGTGGACCTTGGGAGCTCTTCCCCACACCCGGTGACACCTGCCTTTGGGAGGGCCAGCTACTAGGGACCTGGACATGGAGGTCCACCCCCACTGCCCCTCCCCTCCAGGTGGACACTCAGTCCAAGGGTGCTCACTCCATCATGGGCTCGTTTTCCATGCTGCAGCCACAGAGACTCTACTTAATATACAGAAGTAAAAACAATCAGATCCTCTGATAGACACCCTACAATGACTTCTAGAGAAAAGTCTAGAACTCTCGCCTGGCTGACAAGGCCCGCCTACTTCCCCAGCTCCTCTGGCCACTCTCCTCTCACTCTCTACAGCGTCCTCTCCACTGAGTTCTCCTAGTTTATAAGACAGTCTTGCTTTTCCCCAAATTAAATTACAAACTAACACAATTTTGATTTAAAACTCTCAATGGTGCTAGTGAGTGGGGGGGCCTAACTGTGATTCCCAGGTTCCTCTGGAAGTGCAGGCTTTTCACTGCTACTCTACAGAGTGAGGATGGGCTCCCACTGGCAGAGAAGGCTCTGTCCCTTCCTCTAGGGGTAGGGGTGGGGCTGGTGTCTGAAGCTAGCCCTGCCCCAGCGCAGGGCAGATAATTATACTAGGAGTCAGCCCAGCCCAGGAAGGACAGAGGCTGGGAAAGGCAGCTGGTATCAACACTGGCTGATAACATGAGGGCAGGATTCAAGGCAGACAGAGAGGTGACAGAGAAAGGGGCCCACAGGATCGAGGAGACCTTCAGGCAGAGACACTCCAGCCTGCATGGTTCCCCAGAGGACACACAGTTCTCCAGTATTGCTGTGATTTTGATCTTAAATTCTCCAGCCCTG